GGGGTGCTGTGGCGCCTACGGCTACGACTACGACTGTAACTTCGACCACGGCTACGACTGCGACTACGTCGAGGACTAATACTACGGCTATAGCTGCGACTACGATCACGAGACCAGCTGCGGCTTCGACTACGGCCCCTGCTCCAACTCCTGCTCCTGCTTCTACTTCTGCTACGACTTCTGCTGCTACTTCTGCTATAATCCCATGTTCGGACTCTCTCAGGGCTACGACTTCTGCCTCTATTTTTGTAAGAAACATCTCTTCTATTGTCAAATCGCCCACGTCCTCGACCTTGTCCACGCCCATCCATGTTGTATCGATCATCCAGACCACGTTCACCCCTACCCCAACCAACATGACCCCCACGAGGGCCACCAGATCCCCTACCCCTGTTGCCCCTACCTGGAAAGAAATCACCTCTTCCACCTTGCCCACTAGCTCCATCCCTCATGCCCCCACGACCACCAAAGCCGCCGCCACGTCCACCAAAACCGCCATCCCTCATGCCACCACCACGTCCACCAAACCCACCACCACGCCCACCAAACCCACCATCCCTCATGCCACCCCCACGACCACCAAAGCCACTATCCCTCATGCCACCACGACCACCAGATTCCCAACGCCCACCACCACCACCAGAATCAAACCGACTCATCCCACCCCGTTCCTTTCCAAAGTTTGGTGGCCCACGCAAAGCCATCTGTCTTAACTCTGGAAGCACATGCTGATTAGCACCCTCCAATACTTTGATTAAATCACCTGCATGTTTCCAGTCCTGCTCACAAAAAAAGGTATATGATACTCCAGTAGCACCTGCTCTTCCAGTTCTTCCTATACGGTGCACATAGTCCTCTATTCCGGTGGGGAAATCATAATTGATCACCACCCTGTAACACGGAAATTTCACAAAGTTCAATTAAAATGCACCATCACATAATTCCTAAACAAGGATAAGGCCACAATTTACAAAATAAAAGGATCATCACGATCTAGCACAAGCAGAAATCATATAAAAGACTCCAGACAAAAAGAGGCTAACCTTATATCCTTAATATCTAGCCCACGAGCTGCAACATCAGTGGCAACCAGAATTGGTGACTTCCCACTCCGGAACTGACTTAAAACCCAGTCTCTTTCACCTTGAGACTTGTCCCCATGAATTGCAGCAGCCCCAAAAGTCCGACCAATACTACGAGCAAGCTGATCACATAACCTCTTTGTGGAACAAAATATTATGACCTTGGAACCTCGTTCCTGGGATCTGAGGATCTGCTCCAAACGCCTCTGTTTCTCCATTTGTGGGACAACCTCAACATACTGCAAAAAGAATATGTCATCAAGAAAATAAAACAAAAATGTTCTTCATTTAAAACATATTACAGTAAATCCATTCAAAGAGCAAAAAACAAATGGATGATTTAATTGACCGCAAATAAAAGTCAGGATACAATATACAACATAATGATTAATGATCATGAACACAACCAGACCCAAGCTCAATAGAAAATACCATATGCCACAACAAATATATCCTATAAAACAGCATTTAAGAGAAAAGTCTTTCACACAAAATTAACAGGCTGTATTTTAATTTTTGTTTTAATTTATGTATGCAATAATGTATTTTTCTGTAAGGAAAAATACATACTTGCAATGTAGTTTCTATAAGTGAACTGTTACCACATACTTGCAAAGTGCACTACATATGACAACATTTTCCCGTCCTCCAAAAACCAATAAAACACAGCTTTACTTAGGAGAAGCGTAATACACCCCCACCGCAAAACAAGATTAAATTTAGTTGATGCTGCATAATTGACTCAGTCTGTGACTTTCAAATATATTATTAGTAACTTGAAAACTAAAACAAGATTTTTGAAAATTACAAGAACTAAAAACAACAATTTTAAATTTAAGAGACCAAAAACAAATTTATCCTAAATTTGAGATACTAAAAACATATTTAAGTTTTAAAATAATAATAATAATAATAATAATAATAGATGGGGTTTGAAGAGTTGAAATGGTATTTCAATATTTGGACATAGAATATGTTATTTATTTTTGACAAGTATCCCCACACAATCGTAGCTGTGTGACTAACCCTCAAGCTAGGAATGGTGGTTAGGTAAACTTTTCTCAGGGTGACAACTCCAAGGTTCAAACCTTCGGTATTAAAAACAAAGTTTTCATGGAGTCACAGTTCCCTTCCACTATTGGATATTTGGATATAGAATATAATGCACAGAACAAATAAAAGGTAGAAGCTATTTTTCATACAGGGAAAATAAAATTTATTGAAATTTGGAGGTTTAACACATCATACACAAATCCCGAAATAAAAATTTGGATATAGAATATAATAATACATAAAAATAAATAAAAGGAAAAGGCTAATATTTGTAACAGTCACAAAAAGTGAACACAAATTGATCATATAATATATGTAACTCCAAGCTTGCAAAGTAATGACAAAACAAGATAAAACTAGAAGTACCATCAACTTTGTTTTTAAACAAACGGCCACTAGTTAAATACCTGTGTAATAGCTTTATTTGCAGCAAGCTCATCTACACTTCCAATGTTAACCTGGACAGGATTAACAAGAAGATCACCAGCAATTTTTCTTACTTCTTTTGGCCAAGTGGCTGTGTACATGAGAGTTTGTCTGCGTGGTGGAATCTCATTCACAATCTTTCGAATTTGAGGCTCAAAACCCATATCAAGCATCCGATCAGCCTCATCAAGCACAAGCAGTGATACTTGCCCAAAGTCAATTTTCTTCATTTCAAGTATATCATTGAGCCGACCAGGTGTGGCAACAACAATATCTGCTCCCCGATCTAACTCTTTTAGTTGAAGAGCTTTAGGTGCTCCACCATACAAGCACTGCAAAGGGAAAAGAAATCAACAGGTGCACCAAATGAATAAGGCAAACATTAATAGACTAAAACTCAACAAAAAGGAATACATAAAAACACTAGGGACAAACCGTGCAAGAGACTCGTGATGATCGACCAAATTTGATGACCTCATCTTGGATCTGTGTCGCAAGTTCGCGTGTTGGAGCCAAAACCAAGACAGTGGGGCCATTCAGAGAATTATTATGTCGCTGTCTAAGAAGAATAAAGGCAGGTAGTAAGTAGCCTAGTGTTTTCCCAGAGCCTGTCTTGGCAATTGCTACTATGTCTCTACCTTGTAGTGCAACAGGCCATGTTTGAGCCTGTATTGGTGTTGGACTTGAGAAGCCAGCAGAATATATCTGAAATGAGAATATATGGCGAGCAATCAGACCTATGAATGGTGCACAAATACAATGGCTTTTGACTTAGAAAACACAAAATTGCATTCAACTGTGCTATAATTTAGCAAACAAAAAAACAAAAGGACCCATAGGTTATGGTTGCTTACTGAAGCAACTTGAGGCAATTAAAAAAGGCAAAAAAGACATAAGAGGCGGAGCCAATAAGCAACAAATCCCAGGTCACATAGAAATTTGAAGAATGGGGGGTCATCCACCCTTATAGAAGATGCCCAAGAAAGGCTCCAACCATCCCTTTTGCAGGCTCCAAAAATCAGGATAGTAGTTGCACGTGTAATTGTGCCAATAGCAGATTAGCAGTGCAGCGTACGACATATGCTCCTGCTCTGGAGCAGATATCGCACCTGCGACAAGCGAAAAAGATAAGTTTAAAAGTAAATTTTAAGTTAAAACAATGGGGAAAAGGAGTAAAACCATTTCTTTCCTAGGAAGCACCAATGCATACAATACCATATAACAGTAGAACAGTAAACTTACCTCTCTCAATATCTCTGGAGGGAACCCAGTAGCATCAAATGTCATGAAAGGTGGAGGAATGTTGTCACCCTGTCCAGTGAGACATAAATATTGATGTAAAGAAAACGTAAAGATATAAAAGAAATATAAATTTGAAATAAACTCATCATTCTACAAGGAAATAAAAATAATAGAACCACAAACATGACATTTATCTGTCACAATCTTCCCTGGGAAGCTCATACCATTCCAAACAGAGCATATCGTATCATATTATATATACTACATATCTACAAGGACAGGCTTTGTATTCACTTATGATTTTGATGTATCCCAATTGTAACATACAAGTAAATCATAATATCAAATATGCCTAGGGCATTGTAAGAGCTTGGCCTGTACTCTGTATGCTATATGTACTAAGATTTTAAACTAAAGTTCATACACAACTGCCACGAGAAGTACTGACCGTTGCTGTAACTTCATGTTGCTGACAGTAAATTTCAGCTGGTGAGAGATCAGTAACATCAGAAGATCCTATATAAGGAGGCCTCATCAAAGAATTAGTAGAGAGAGATGAAGGTCCTCCAATCGGAGGAGCAAACATGCCATGCATAGCATTCCCAGCAACACCACTTCCATTTCCACTAGGCATTACATTTTGAAAAGGAGCATTTCCAATCCTCATATCCTGCAATGATGTTTTACAGAATCAATAAAATGAAAAAATATATATATACTTAATTAGGATAAACAAGCATTACAAAGGAGGGATGTGATGAAAATCAACTTAAAATTAAAGGATAAAAAAGTGAAAAAGACAAGTGAAGCTTTGACACGTGCATTATCACAGAGAGTAGTGTTGAAGTAGTCAAAGGTGAAAAGCACCTACAAAGCACTTGGAGGCTTAAAACCTTGAGAGATAAAAAATGAACCAACATTAAATAAAAGGGTAATGTATTTAACTATTTTGCATTAATATTGCATATTATTAAAACGTTCATCATACAGAACCATAAGTTCCTTGCTGCAAGTGTCTCAAGGACTGTAATAGGTTATTTCTAGACATGCTGATTATTTCATCGCTTTAGCATAGTTGGCTAGTTGGATGCTTCGGTTTTTAGTTTTTCAGCGGTATCAATTAATAAGGCCTGTCTTAATTGATCCAAAAAGATGCACCAACTTGGATTAATGCAAAATAGTTAAATATTATTTGAGAGATAAGATGGAAGGAGGATGTTCATTGAAGACAAAATGAGAATTTTACCTCTTTTTTTTGTTTGCTTGCAAAGAAAATAATGAGGGAAAAATGGAGGAAGTGGAACACATGTAAATTTTTTGTGGTCTCACGTGAGAAGAAAATGAAAATGGTTTTTGTCTGAAATGACAGATATACCCATCATTACATTAAAAGGATATAAAAGTCATCTAACATAAATAATTTTTTTTCTTTTCACTTCCTCAAGCTACTCTATTCTTGCTTGTTCTGAGGGGAAGATAAGAAATATTATTTGTAGAGGGTACCCATGATTCAACACAATTAACTTAATAATATAATTAGTTAAAGATTGAAAAGTGAACCAAACTTTTAAACTTTGTACTAGGAAAAAAGGTACCTGCTGATTTCTCGGAATGGATATTTGAGTCATATCTGGCTGCTGACGACCCATTGTTGATATTTCTTTGTTAGAATTATAGTAATATTCGCTCCCTGCTCTACCACGCATATTATCCTCATGACCCATATTTTGGCCAGCACCAGCAGGATGGACATTGGATGGATGACCATGCATCATTCTTGGGCTCATCTGGTTATGAAAGTTAGGACCATGTTGGTAATATAAATCAGATCCACCCTGCTGCAATGGCATTGCAGAGGGTGACTGTTGCATACTGCCTGATAAGGCCCTGAATTGCTGTGGTTGGCCAGCAGTGACACCTACATTAGGCACTTGACCAGAACCACCTTCAGCAGGAATGTTTTGGTTGTTTTGAACAGGCAAGGCACTCCTTTGTGAATACTGGGATGGGGAATGTCCAACCTGGCCTCCATTTTTAAAATCCACTTCCTCAACTTTTGGAAATGCTGTTTGATGATTTTCAAAGGGCTGACCATGCATGTTATGCTGAACCTGCTGGGAGTTAGGTTGCCCAGGAGAGACCATGTTTGGCTGAACATGCTGGGAGTTAGGTTGCCTGGATGCAATCACGTTTGGCTGATATGACATATAATGCATGTTTTGGGGAGTGAACTGATGCGCTTGTGGTTGTACAATGTGTGAACCATGGTCCTGAGGCGTTCCTTGCCCAAAATGTTGAGAATGGATAGCCTGAGGCGGCATCTGATGATGCATTTGCTGCCCTTGAGGCTGCATCATTTGCTGTCTGGCTTGATGTAACCCATGTTGCGGCACTGACTGTGCCATCTGTTGGTTCTGCTGCTGTCCAGACTGAGCACCCTGAGAGGGCTGCTGCTGAGCAACCTGCGCCAAATGCGGACTCTGCTGCTGCTGCTGCATTGCTGGCACAGATTGACCATGCTGTTGGGCAAGGTGACCAACCTGCTGCTGCGAGGGTTGCACTTGCCCATATTGCTGCGCCATCCCACCAGGCTGCATTGTGTGAGCCCCTGGTATAGCCGCCAAGCTTGGCGTTGAAGCCACTGGCGCAGGCACCGGGGTTATCGGAGCAGGTTTTTCATACTGCGTAACATTAGTTTCAGGATTCCAATAATATAACAGACCAGTGCTGCCATCAATCAAGCCCTTCCACGGTTGAGGAAGAGTGGGATCATCAGGAGCATATCTAGGACCAAGCCCTGCAGAAGCTGCCTCCGCTGTTGCCATAACGAATTCGTATATCTATCTCTACAGCCAAAAGTCATTGTTCAAACAACATCACACACAGACACACGCAACATTCAATCCCTATAGAGATAGAAGACCTAAGGATGTTGAATTTTAATTTTAAACAAACACAATCAGAATCTGAAGGTTCTATTCATAACGTTAAGAATCAACGATTATGTATTCCCTAAAAAGAAGAAATAAATGAAAATAAAAGCGCTGTATGAACCCTAGAAAAACGATAAGATTATATTATACTATGAAAAAGGTGTAGAGCGAAACTTACAAAGTTTATGTTGGTGAAATCTGTGAGGGCGAATTGCTAGTGATGAGAGAGCATGTTGATGAAGAAAAACTTGTGATAAAACGAAAAGGCAAGAACAGAGGCAGCTTTGTTTGGTGAATGCAATGAATGGGTTAGGGTTGAAGAGGATGTTGGAGATGGAAGTGTGCAACTTAAGCCGAACTACGGTGGACCATACGATTGGGAAACAACGGTTATTGGACGACTGCGATCTTTGCGTGTACCTGTGGGTCCACCGAGTATTATTTCGACGCTCGTGATCTTTCTCTCGGTCACTCCATTTTTCAGCTTTCAATCTTTACCGCATGATCTTGCATGAGCGTGAAAAAAATGAGTTCAAGCACAAGTACGATCCCCATGGAAATATGTAAGATATGATTTTAAAATATGATAAAATAACAATAAGATACAATAAGAAAATAGAAAGAGATAAATTTCAATTTTTTGATAATATTTATCTTTATATTTTTTAGGTTTGATATTAATTAATAAAATATAATACAGAGTACTATTTTGTTCTCCTAATAGTTTCAATATAAATTAAAAATTTGCACTAATTGTTTTCTTTATTTTAAATGTGTACTTTTGATATTAATATTTTTTATTTATTATTTGTGATATTTAATTATTTATTATAATTTATTCCTCTTTTGTGCAAAACGTAAATAACTGTATGTATTTTAGGAATTTTTTACTCAAATAATACTATTTTAAAATATTTTACCTAAATAATAACTGTGCAAATTTATTTTCCTAACTAACACTATTTTACTGTTCACGTTCAGAACAGGCCGTTCCAGATTAAAAAATAACACATGGCGAATGGATCAGAACGGGTCGTTCTAAATTCAAAATTAGCACACAAAAGGTGGAACTAGAACGGACCGTTCTGAATCCGGAACAGGCCGTTCTGGCCTATAAATAAAAAAAAAATTTGGTTCAATTTTCACTTATCAAATACCAAAATTCAGAAACTAACATCAAATAATTAAATTTATTGAATATTAACATTATAAATATAACTAAATAAATTTATTAAAATTCATTACAACAATAAAAATCAATGGTGACGAAAACTGAATTCATGACCAATATTTGGATAGGCCAGAACGGCTCGTTCTGGTTTCACTTTTTATGTGCTAATTTTGAATCTGGAATAGTCTGTTCTGATCCATTCTTCATGTGTTATTTTTTAATCTGGAATGACCCGTTTTGGTTTCAAAACAGTTCGTTCTAAACGTGAATGATAAATGGTGCTAGTTGGGAAAATAAATTTAGACAGTTGTTATTGGGTAAATTTTTTTTAAAATAATCTTATTTGAGTAAAAAAAGCTCATATTCTACTTACAGTTTTTTAAAAAAGAAAAATTATTTTAAAATATGCATTACATTCACTTCTTTATTCTTAAGTAACTTTTTCTCCAGCTTTTCAAATTCTATTGTTCAAGACTCGCATTTAGATGAAATTGACCTGCTAGTTGAAGGATTAGGATAATTTATATAAGATTTTTGGTTCAAATCTTGATGTTATTATAATTTTGATATTAAAAACTTATGAATGAAATGTAAGTGTATAATGTGTATTATAGTTTCTTTATTAATAATATGTTCCTTTTCTCTTTCGTATGTTATCTTATTGAATATTATCATGAATTAATATGATAAATCACATTTATTATATGATAACTCACATGAAAAATGATAGTTGATTTATTTATATTTATATAATGAGATCTTTTCATGAATATCAAAAATTTTAAAATCAGCAATTATTTATAAAATATAAAAACTTGCATAGAAAAATTATGATATATAATTTAACTTTTTAAAATTGTATATTAAATTTTTAGTACTATAAATTTTTATATAAATATTGTGCCCACAATTAAGCATGGAAATAAATGAGGCTTTAAACATAGATATATGACCTAATCTAACTTATTTAATATAAAAAATAGGTTTAAACTTTAAAAAAAAAAACATATTTATTTAAAAATGTTAAACTTATGCTTATAGAAAAGTTTGATAAACTTAATAGATCAATTTATTTATCTATATAATATAATAAAAAAATATATGCATATTTTTTTATTAATAATATAATTAAATAAATAAATTTATTATGCAAATAATCAAATTATTAATATTTTTACTTCACTTAAATGTTTTAAATTTCTTATTTATATGAAATTAAGAGATAAAAAATTGAAAATCTAGTCATCGCATCTTCTCTCTTTCTTTACTTTTGTGGTCAATTATTTCGAATATTTTAAATAGAATATAAAGAATGTTTAGAAAGTTTATTTGGATAAAAAAAAAAAACAAATTACTAATATTTCAATCATTTATTTCATCATACTTGTGTGAGTGTACATTAGTGTATATGATTGTGCATGAATTGTTCCTCTTACATTGGTTTTTATTTTTATTTTAAACTTTAAACTTAAAACAAATAATATAGTAAAATATTTTTTATTACACAAATTAAAAGAAAAAATTCACAAATATATTTAAAAATATATTTGTTGAGCTATTTAAAATTAAGTTTATTTAGCCTTTTTAATGTAAAATAAGCTTATAGGTCATACCAAATTTTTAAAACGATTTGATCATGCCTATAAAAAAAATTATGTTAGATAATAGTTTAGGTTTAGACTTGTTTTGTAGAACATATATGTAGGGATGACAATAGGATGAGATAGGTACAAACTTTACTATATTGTCCATGTTTCTGTATCTCATACTTGACATATATGAAATCTGTGTTCTCATATCTATTTTTATCAATTATTGGGTATATTTGTACCTGACTCATACTTGCCTAAAATTTTATAATAAAAAAAATATTAAAAAAATTCAACATAGAGTAACAGTTATAAAATTATATTAGTTAAGTTTCATCTAACATAAATTTAAAATAGAGTAAGAATTAGTTTAATGTAGTAAATTTTTAAAAAATAATGCTTTTAGGAATTTAAAGCGGGTACGAGTATGGGGTTGGTAAGCATATCTCCATTGTTTCATATTCTTCTTTGTTCAAGTGATAAGGACAATTCTGATGACAAGTGTTTGTACACTATTAAGGTGATTTTTCAGCAACATCAATGATCATTGAGGCAATTTTTCAATGAAATCCTTTGTTCATACTCGTACTCTTATCCTTTTCATTCTCGTTCTCACAACTGTTCATTTGTACTTGTGTAATGCCCATTTTTTTTATTATTAATTATCAATGGCATTTTCGTAAATTTTATAAAGGTATAGGGGTATTCTTGTAATTTTATTACTGATGGCATTTTCGCAATTTTAAAAAAAATTTTAAGGGGTGTTTTGGAATGTTGAATACATGTAAGTATAATGAATGAACTACCAAACTTCCCTACGGAAAAACAAAAAAATCTTCAGATTGCAGATGAAATGCCGTAACCATTACGATGAGATTTTTGCCATTTCCATGCAATTTGTATACTCTTCTCAAGGTCAGTGTATTGTGCAGTCCAATTGAGTTCCCTGTTGATTTTAGAAGGGTCACTATACACCTCAGCATAATCACCAGGTCTACGAGGAAGGAAGTCCACTTTTATGTCCACCCCTGTGGCTTTCTTACAAGCATTCACAAACTCCTTCACTGATCTACCTGATACACAATAAACTCCTCGTGAGATATATGTGGAGTTGCATTCAAGCACTATTTCTTCATATTCAAAGGGTAGCTTAGCTACACTTTTTGTCACTCATGTTTCACGACTTCACAAACTTTGTCACAATTTTCAAATTTTCAAATATTTTGCAATCACATTAATTGACCATTACAGTCACATTTAACTACTGATATAGTATATTGACCATCAATATGAATTGCTGATATGACATATGAATGATGCAAATAAGGGAAACTTGCAATAAAATGGTTTGACGTGATTTTATGCCTTGACTTCGGTTTCATACGTGTTTTCAAATTGATGTAAGGAAGTTTTTTCTTTTGCTAAAAAGAAAAAAAAAAAAAAAGCATATTCAAACAAAAGAAATAAAATTAAAATGCAAATATTGTCGGCGAAATTAATTCGTGGGCTCGAGTTGTTTCAGCTTTTCACGTGCATCCTGTAATAGGTTGCAATCAGACAAGGATAGCTTTCGGTTTTTGTTTTTTTTGAGCTTAGGGTTAACATGATATCATCTCTTTTAGGACCACAAGTATCCGAACATCATATTAGATTTCTGATTAATTCAGGTTCTTTGAACTGATACGATAATACTTTAATTTTCAAAGAACCAATTTGGAATTAAAAGGATTTAAAAATAAAAATCTATAACGGTACTCTTATCTTACAGAGGATTTAATTGAAAGTTTATTTTACTTATGCGCAATAATCTTTGTTACAAAAACAATGGTCTTTTTTAATCGACTAATATCACAACACTTTAACTAATGAAAAATTGTTCATAAGGAATTTCCCTAGCAGTGTACATGATTGCATTTTATTAATTTATATGGTGTCATATTGTACTATTGAGGTGAATGCTGCATTGGCCAAAATATAAAGATAGAAGAAAAGCTATACCCCCCAACCAGAGGCTGGGATTATATTATTATTATTGACTCATAATATGTTGAATACATGTAAGTATAATGAATGAACTACCAAACTTCCCTACGGAAAAACAAAAAAATCTTCAGATTGCAGATGAAATGCCGTAACCATTACGATGAGATTTTTGCCATTTCCATGCAATTTGTATACTCTTCTCAAGGTCAGTGTATTGTGCAGTCCAATTGAGTTCCCTGTTGATTTTAGAAGGGTCACTATACACCTCAGCATAATCACCAGGTCTACGAGGAAGGAAGTCCACTTTTATGTCCACCCCTGTGGCTTTCTTACAAGCATTCACAAACTCCTTCACTGATCTACCTGATACACAATAAACTCCTCGTGAGATATATGTGGAGTTGCATTCAAGCACTATTTCTTCATATTCAAAGGGTAGCTTAGCTACACTTTTTGTCACTCATGTTTCAACGTACTAGAATATATCAATTTCTTTACACCATATTTAGCCATAGACTCCAATACCAACAAGGTATTTGACGTAATATTGTGATAATACCTGACAAAAAAAGTATGTTAAAAAATTTATTAAAAAACGGGTAGAACTTAAATCAAGATGAATTTTAACACCAAACCTGGTTATTGATGTGACGGCCTAGGGTGGGTCGTTACAACTTGTGCTCCCAAGTTTGTTTGTTTTTTTGTGCATTTCATGTATGGTGCCGGTGTTGTTTGATATTGTTGGTTCGGTGTGAGAGAGAGTGTGTGACGATGAAACACGATAAGAGAAAAAAATGTGGTGACAAAACATGAAGAGATGCAATAAGAGAGAAAGAACACGATGACAAAACGTAAAGAGACGCGACAACAACGATACGACAGAAGAATATGAAAAGACGCAACAAAAAAAAAAGAGCGTAACAAATAAGCATTTGTTAACTTAAAGAATAAGATTTTTTGTGTTTGTTATTTTTATAACTGACATAAAAATGTTAAGACCTCTTATGTCAACTATTTTCATAACTAACATAAAAAGTCAATACATTATATATTGTCGAGATTTATGAGTCTAAAACTGATGTAAAAAGATGTTTTTAATTGTCATTGAAAGTGTAATACACACTAGTGTTACAAAACTGTAAGATTTGTTAAATGAGAAGTAAAATAAACTAAAACGTGTTGTTTTCAATAGATTTCAACAAATAGCTAATATTTTTATATATAAAAAAATGTGTTACTAGCATTTTTCTAAAAAAATGACTTAGCAAAACTTATCATCTTTCATTTAAAACCAAATAAAAAATAACGATAAAACATAAAATAAACATGTGATGTAACCACTTTAGCAAGAACATGAGCAACAATGTTAGTTTGCCTTCTAACAAACTTCCCTATAAAGTTTGGATGATTTGAAATGATGAGCCTATAGTCATGAATAATGGCTTTTACATTAGAAAAGTTTGGTGTGAATTTCATAATTTTGTCTACCGCCACTTTGCAATCCAACTAAAAAGTAATATGAATAGTGTAAATTAAATATTAGTAATTAAACTTGTCACATTTATATACTAAATATAAAATTAATAAGAATATTGTTTAATTTTTAAATGTTTCATTATTCATTTAGTTCATATACTTGTATTATTTTTACATTTTGGTTCTTATATTTGATAATTATATATTTTGTATTGTATGAAAATGAAGGTCACCTCATATCTTCTGAAACACTTATTTAATCTAGAATATGAAAACTATTATGATGAGATGATGTCTCGTTGAGTGATAAAGACATACAGTAATATTAATATATCTAAATCTCAAACCCTAAATCGTCGTAGATGCATAATTTGCATTAAATTGTGCTTAACTTTTACATAATTATAATCATAAACTTAAACATTAACTTTTCCATGATTGACATTATTTTTTTTTTCATCTTACAATAAAGTACTAAACTCAAACTTTCAAGAAATATCTTTCTTGTCCTTGTGTCATAATTATGTACTTAAATCCTCACCTTTGAAAGATAAGAAGTTACATAAGCCTCCTATCACCACACGGTAGCTAAAGTTTTAGAGTTTCCACATTTTTCCTATATTAAAAACCTTTAGTCATTCTTTGGTATTAAAACGAGTTTTCCCTTTATTTTTCTCACTCTTCATTGTTCAAACATAAACACAAATTATTTCTATGCATTGGTTTATAATCATAAAAACATGGTATGCATAAAAAGATAGCTTGATGGTTTAGGGGTCTCTGTTTTAGTACATGCATGACATTGCTCAATGCTACTACACACACTAACACTATTATATGACATTTGGGCAATGTTTGGATTGGTGATAGAGAAAGGAAACAGACAAAATGGGTTAAAACATAATAGAGCAAAATAGACTAGAATAGAATGAATTAAAATTGTCATTCCATTGTTTTAGCATTTTATAATAAAATAGAATAAATAGTTCATTTGATCGTTTGGTAAAAAGTTAGAGCAAGATAAATTAAAAAATTCCAGATTAATATTATTATTATTTCACAAATAACGTTATTAGAGCAAAATTGCTTTATTCAACTATTTGAGCTACATTAAAGTTAACTTTTTGTGGTGTTTTGTTTGAGCTAATATATCTTAACTAACCACACTATTTTGTTGCATTGCTTCATTATGGAAACTCCTCTCTCTATTATAAAATTATTATGTCTCCATAATGTATATGTTTTGTTATTAAAAGAAGAAACTTTTTATAATATTTGACTCGATACAACAAATTTTTTTTTACTTAATCCCCTTCCATCCGATAATCAATCATGTTTAATTAGTGTGCCTCTACATTACCATGTATATCATGAAGTTAATTGTTCAAAATACTACATCACAATAACTCACGAGTTAAAGATCTTACAAACTATTAAAAGATTTGCAAAATTAGGTAAAAGTCTTCTATCATGTTTCATTTCTCATGTGGGGTGTAATTTTATAAGATAGAAAAACGAGAAAGAATAAAAAAGGGGCCAAGATCGACATTTTGTTTGAGCCAAATTTTAAAAAGGTAAATAATATATAGTAATTTAAGAACTATAAAAGTTTAATTTCATCATGTGCACCTCAAATTGGAAGGGAAGAAAAAATGGAGTAAACAATGTGATGGAATAGATTTGATTCCATTCTCCTTCATTCTCTACCATCATCTTCCATCTCCACTTGTATAAAACTAAACAATTAATTTTTTATTCCATTATTCTATTCCACTTCATCCCGCTCACCACTAATCCAAACATACCCTCGTGCAAATGTTTCAAACATGTCTTCCCTTACTAAGTGAGTGAAAAGTCATGCTTAGTAAAATTGCACGAGTTCTAAACTAAGTATGGTCTAAAAAGGTCCAATGTGTAGAAGATCATGTGCTTAGGAGGTTATTGTCTTTCCTCCTATTATTTAATTTGTTTTGATGATTCTCACGCCTTTTTCCTGTCTTTCACCATGTTATTTTTGAGAAATATTAGTTTATATATCTTTTTAACCTTGAGTGTCGAAAAATTATTATTTTAATAGTGTGTACATTACTGATAATCTTTAAGCACATGTATATTGATATTATTTTTCCTTATCTTATTTATCTAAAACTAGCTTGTACATGTTTTGGGCAAGCTTTGAAAAGTATCAACATGCTTGGAAAATATTCAAATACTTTAAGTATAGAAACTTCAAAGAGTTGTTTTATTTTGCTTTCTTAAATCAATATTTGAACACTTATCATCAAATATTTCATTAGGTATTCAAATTTTACAAAATATACCCACTCATGAAAAAGTTACAAAAGTATTTGAATACACATATTAGTATCCAATAATGCATAATTTTTTTGTTTTGAAAATTGATAAACCATTATTTGATAATGAAATTTCTTATGTTTTTAAGATTTCAAAGTTTATTTGTTATTGTTGTATGGTCCAATCCAATGTACAAGTTGATTTTTTTATTGAAGATTAATTTATACTTATATGATTAAATTAAAAAAAAATCCATGTAATGTAACTATTTTATGATATTTAATTAAATTTGTGCCTCAATTGTGGAAAAACATACAAAAGAAAATAAATGAATAAAATAAAGTAATAAACCCCTCTGAAAGAACTGGAACGTTCTCCAGAACTAGAAGCGGTGGTTCAGTTCAAAACTTGAAATACACATTCTCAATTCTCATGCCTCTTTCTCAAATCTCAACTCTCATCTCTCACCCAAACCAAGCCAAGGAATCACAGTTCCGATCATGGAAGCTGAAGCCACCACCGCTCCCAAGTTGGCACTCGCCGACACAGACATCAACTGGGACAGGTAGGTACCTTCTCACAACCTTCAACTCTTCTCTTCTCTAATGCACATTACTTAGACTCAGTTATAATCTTTAACGTTAGGTTGGATAAAACCAAGTTTCACGTGATTGGCGCCGTTCTCTTCACCGCCCAATCGGCGCTGCTGCATCCGACGGCGGTGGTGAAGACACGGATGCAGGTGGCCGGCGCTCGCCTCTCCCACGTGCGGGGAGCCTCGCTGTTCGCTCACATTCTGCGGAGCGACGGCGTTCCCGGAATCTTCAGAGGTTTCGGCACCTCCGCCGTGGGTTCGGTCCCCGGGAGGGTCCTGGCTCTCACGTCTCTCGAGGTTTCGAAGGACGCCGTCTTGAGACACACGCAGGGCAGTCGCATTCCAGAAGCTTCGCGCGTTGGCCTCGCGAATGCGGTCGCCGGCTTGCTGTCCAATTTGGTTTCTTGTGTCTACTTTGTGCCTTTGGATGTGGTACTTAACCTGACACTCTTCCTTTATCCTTTTTTGTTGTCATCAATGGTTTTGGTTAGGCTAAGTTAGAATAAACACCCATTTTAGTAACTGAATTTTGAAGGTATCTTTGTCAAACATGGGAATTAGTATCTTCCAGACGGGTTTGACAGATACCAAATAGATAGACATCTCTTTTCAACTTAGTTCGTGTTTGGATTCTCGTTGATGATCCGCAATTTAATAATTTTTCACGTTAAAATGCACCAAAAGTAACAAATAGTTACTTCTCTGATCCACGTTTGAGGTTTGTGAATGAGAATCTAAACACCCACTTAGTTTTCTGCATATGCAAGAACCAGGAGTTGAAATCTAGCTACTTGGTTGAGTTACGAGAGTTCGTGACACTCATGGCAACTTCTCAAGTTGGTGAAGACTCCATTAATTAAAAAATTGTCAAAAGTCTTTAAAATGTCAAATAGATTCTTAAATTTAACTAATTATTATTATTTCCTTAATTTCAAGGACTAATATGATGTCTTCAAAATTAAGGGATGAAAATGGTGTTTATTCGCCTAATTACATTTGTGTTTCCACTTATTATTTAATTGGTTCAGTTTAGTTTTCTTATTATTAAAAGGATTATTTTGGTCATTTAATTTTTTAAAAAGAGATATAAGGTTACTCTTTCTGATCTTCAATGTAGACTAATTTTTTTAACTTATTGTACACATAATACAGTTAAAAAAAATGACATTTGACACAACGGCATCCAAATTCTTTACTGGGCCACATGTACAATAAGTCAACGCTGATACCAAATAAGAACGTAACAATAAAGAAATGACAAGTGACACAACAATGGCATCCAATTTCTTTACTATGCTGGGTGAACTATAAGTTAAAGCTGATCCAAATAAGATTAGCCTTTTGTTTATTATCGAGTGCTTGGATCAACTGCTAGCTTAACCATGGTCTTCAATTCAAGTTATGGGTATACAACTGCGATAAATATTGAGAATGGAGTGCTTTTGTCACTTATAATAGTCCTAGTTGGCTCGAACATGATTGTTTCTTGTGGAGTACATGTGATCTATACTAAAAAGAATGATTTTGTTTAATGTGTGTGTTTATTCTCAGATTTGTCAGAGGTTAATGGTACAGGGTCTTCCTGGGACAACGTATTGTAGAGGGCCCTTTGATGTCGTTCGTAAAGTTGTGAAGGCTGAGGGGTTTCGTGGCTTGTATAGGGGTTTTGGATTAACCGCTGTAACCCAGTCCCCTGCATCTGCACTTTGGTGGGGTTCATATGCTGCTGCACAACACCTAATTTGGAGGTAAATTTTGTGCTTTTTACAACAATCTACCGGCGCTGTGTTTGGTTTCTCATATGAAGGTTTAGTTTGTTTTCATAGATAAAACTTAGATGGAGTAATTCTTTAATGCTTTTGGTATTGTTAGCTAATTAGAATTGGACTTTCATTTAATATGGTTTGCAGTCAATTCTAATAAGAGGATAATTCTAAAAGCAATTAGGAAACTATATATAAGTTTATTGTATTTTAATAAGCTCACATGCCTGTCAAAACAAGTTAAGAGTTAAAAGAGCTTATAGGAAGGATATAATCTACTTTCATCGGCCAAAAACAAGCTTCGTGTAAGTTTTTGTTTCATTCATTTTTTTTTTTGCATTTTTAATTTGTGCATGGTTATTGGCTTTTAGGACTTTGGGCTACAAAGATGAAACAGGGAACAAACCTTCACATATGGAAATGGTGACAGTTCAGGCTACTGCTGGGATGGTTGCTGGTGCTTGTTCTTCTGTTATCACTACTCCCATAGATACTGTTAAAACACGTCTTCAGGTATGTGAAATGAGACTCTTGTTCTTATTTGTTGGTATTGAAGAAGGAAGATATTTTTAGGAGTTTAAATTGACATTGGTATGTGTGTCACTGTCAGTAAATCAGTTGGTGCTTCTTTTATGGAGTAGTTTTTTTATTATGTTTTGACTGTAACATGGCTATTTTGGATTTGTAACTTTTAATTACACTTAGGTTATGGACAACTACGGTTCTGGAAGACCATCGGTACTGAAGACAGCAAAGAGTCTCCTTAAGGAAGATGGATGGTGGGGATTTTACAGGGGGTTTGGACCAAGATTTTTAAACATGTCACTTTATGGAACAACCATGATCGTTACTTATGAACTGATAAGTATGCCACTTCTTGCTTATTTATTTTTGCATCAATTCTATTTTGACTTAGGTGATATGAGCAACACGTTACACGTCCCTTTATTTGGTGAATTATTCAAATGATTTGATTTCAACTTTGGGGGAAGTTCTTGTTCTTAAAAGCAAGCATTTTAGCTTTAGTTATTTTGTTTGTATGTAACATCATCCATGGCTGTCTTCCTGAAAGAATATATTCCCCTTTCTCTTCTAATCGCCTTGTGTGAACCATGGGCTGAGAATGTTTATTGAATTTGAATTCTTAAGGTGTCTAAAACCTTGTCCGATTTCTGACAAAAGTGGTTCTAACATGTATCTCGTTTTTCTTTATTTCAACTTGCATATGCTATTATATGCAAAGTGTCTAATGATCCCGACTCTGAATAACAACCTTATCTTTGAGTAACTGGATTATCCATTATAATGAATTGGAGGCTTCATTCTTATAATTTAAGCCTTATTTGTTTCCTTTTGACAGAGAGATTATCAGTTCAACCAAGTTCAAGGTCTTTTACTTGAGAAGTGCAATTGTACTATAAGAGCAGAGACAGATTCAACACGCATGATTTTAGCATGTGTTCAGGGACAACCTATTGATGGACCCTTTCAACCTCAGATACTGCATGATGCAGTATGGCAAAGCCTGATCAGTCTACCCTTTTCTCAAAGACAGTTACTTTTCCACATTTTAAATGACACCATAACTTCTGCTTCTTCAAAACTGTTACACGGGAATTCTTGTTTCTTTTGAGTATTGGGGTGGGGTGGAATATAGAGAAGGAGAATTATAGTTTTTCACCATATTCTTCATTCCGTGGGCATTACTTGTATACACGGCCCAAAGTATCCGGACAATTTTTCAGATAATGTAGGATTGTTGAAAGAACGGATTTAATTATAGTTTGACCTTACAGTTTGTAGTTTGTTTGCAAATTAAATAATACATAGCAGCAGAGGTATTGGCCGAATTCTATTGGTATGTCTCAAACTGAATTGCGAGCTGTCAAAAGTCAAATATTGAATAATGTTACCAAGAGGGGCATATTTTGGCTAAAATATAAGGTGGAAATTGAGCATTACGTAAATGTAGTATATGGTCCCTTCAAAACCAAGTTTACTTCGATTTCTTAGAGTCTTGTGGTATTATCCATGCTTATACAGGCTGAAATATAATGGCTAATGTCGTTCTGCATCCTTAAACTAGGTAAACTAGAAAAGTAGAGGAAGGCTAGATAGCCTCCGTTTCTTTTAAAAGTCTTGGTAAACTAGAAATGAAAAATGTGGATGTTAATTATTTGCCTTATATTTTAAAATTAAATTATTTATGTTTTAAAATCAGTTTACTTTTGGCCCAATCAATTTTAAAATGAAGAGTTGGATGATAGCTTAAACGCCTGGCTTTTTAAATTTCTTTCATCAACTTCTAAAATGAAGAGTTGAATGTCATTTGAAAGATATTGTATTAGACAAAAAAAAAAACCCCAAAATTATACATTATAGTTTATTTGGTTTTAAACCCTTGATATTTGTCACTTGAATACTAATTAATTTGAGCTAAATTAAGAAAATTAGGTAAATTCATTTAAGTTATATTTTTTTTGTGCTTTTTTTTTTCTTCACTTTTTAGGGAGAATTCCTACTAATTTGAGCTTGGTAGGGAGAGTTTTGCCCGGCTCATGCCCAAATAAGTGGGTCAAATCCAAAAAATTAACTTAACTCTCACATTGATTTCCGAATTTGGGGTGACCTTATACAGACAGAGAGTGAGCAATAGTTATTGTTCCTCTGAATCTACATCTCTAACGATTTATCTCTCTCTTTTCATTTCTCATCATGTAAGTTTGTCACTTTTTGTAATATGGATTCAATCCCTTTCATACATTTTCATTTTATGGTTTCAAACGTTTTGTTTTTGAATTTGTGTCTAAGATTTCATCGTTTGATCATAGCATGGCCCCAGTGTGAAATACATTTCATTTTATGTTTTTGTTTTCCATTTGTGATTTGATTGAATTAAATGGATTTGAACCACTTATTAGCTGATCTTTGAATTGGACTTCTAAGATATATAATGTGGATCATAGAATTCATTTTAGATTCAATTCTAAGATTTTGCAATTCTTCCCTATGTAATAAGACTCCAAGCATCGTAAATCACGGATTACTCGGGTTAACATTAACAAGTACCGCAAGTAAAACTTGCAACAAGGCAATTCTTGGGAAAATGTGTCTTTGGAATCGCACCAATTAGAAAACTAGTTCATAACATGATACTCACACTACGCATCACATTGTCGGTAACTTTGTTAACAAATTTATAATGTTATATCTTGCCTACCATTATCATGCATGCATGCATAAAATTTCAAGTTAATTCAAAAATATTTTACTATTATACATGATTTTTATCCTAGACCTAGTATTTGATGCCTTGCTCCATTGTAATGGCAGATAATGGGGTTGTCTTTTGGCAAGGTTTTCTCTCGCCTCTTTGCTAAGAAAGAGATGCGAATTCTTATGGTTGGTCTTGATGCCGCTGGTAAAACCACAATATTGTATAAACTCAAGTTAGGGGAGATTGTTACCACCATTCCAACTATTGGTATATTTTCCTTTCAATCTTATGAGATCCAAGGAAATACAAAAGTTTTAGCTATTGAAGATGTTTTATTACTGTTTTCCTTTATATATAACATCATTATTGCTTTTCCGTATCATGTATGTATATACAGGATTTAACGTGGAAACTGTGGAGTATAAGAACATTAGCTTCACTGTGTGGGATGTTGGTGGTCAGGATAAGGTGATCATTGCTAGAATCACTCACTAAATTCTCTCCCCACTGATTTTTATTTGATTTTGAACTTTGAACTACTTGAGTTGTGGAGAGAACCATATAACTCAATTGTTTTATATCTATTTATTTGTATAAAAAAATGGTGCAAGTGCTTGTTGATGTAATAACTCAGTTAGCAAGGGCTTGATATATTTCAGATTCGACCATTGTGGAGACACTACTTCCAAAACACACAAGGGCTTATTTTTGTGGTGGACAGCAATGATCGTGATCGAGTTGTTGAGGCTAGAGATGAGTTGCACAGGATGCTGAATGAGGTGTGTGCATATATATGTATATGTTTTTTAATCCACAAGAATAAAACTCGGTACCAAGAGAGTTAACAATAACTCGTACACTTACTCAATCATTTGGGTTAGACCCCTTCATTAGTGTATATGTATGAATGAAAAATGAGTCTTCACAACTTACTCTTTAACATACTTCTCACTCACTTTCTATCATCAGTTCATTAAATAAGACATATAACACCCATAATTTTTTTATAACTTTTAATCAATAAGAGAAGAGATGTTCAAAGTAGCGTGGTGCTAGGATTTTTTTTATGAATAAAAACTTCCATGCTAATTTGATTTCTTACTATGGACAGGATGAATTAAGAGATGCTGTATTGCTTGTTTTTGCAAACAAACAAGATCTTCCTAATGCAATGAATGCTGCTGAAATAACTGATAGGCTTGGTCTAAACTCTCTGCGACAGCGCCACTGGTAAATTAAGTCTTCAACCAAGGCCATTTTTGAGTAAATAGTCATTTTGTCCCTGAATTTGAAAGACAATATAGTAATAGTCCTTGAAATAAAATGTTGTATAAGTCCATTGACAATTAAATTAGTCCAAGAATCTTAAAAAAAATTGACTAAAATGATATTATTATTTAATAAATATTCAGGAACCAAAATGACAATAAATAGTAAATTTAGAAACTTGTTTGATATTTTCTTAATTTTGAGAATTAATATGATAACACTTATCGTTTAAGCATCTCTGAAATATGCACACATGCATGTTTTCCGCAGGTATATCCAAAGTACATGTGCTACTTCTGGTGAAGGTTTATACGAGGGACTAGACTGGCTTTCAAATAACATTTCAAGCAACAAGGTTTCCCTTAAAAAATAAAATTGTTTTGGTCTACAACAAGGTTCCATGTTGCAGTTACATTTCTCCCCTCCTAGTTGCTGCTTTTTATCATGTTTGCTCTCTTCCTTTCAGGGACGCTAGAGATATCATTGGATGCTGATACTTTTTCCGGAATGTGATGGCAACACACTTTCTGATAAATTGTTGGCATCAATGCTGTTGTGTTGTAGTTTTTATGATCACTCCTTTTATATTGTTTTCACAATTATTCTTTTGTCTTGTTTAATTGGGTTTTAATTCAAATAAATACTATTTATGTATGTTGCTGAACTTCTTTGGTTTATTGTTTTCAAAGACATGTTTCTCTAAACTACTAGCATCAGCCTACTATTGAGGATGAAATAATATGTAAATGTTTCTATGTTCGAATCTTATTTTCGTTTTTGTAATTACTAAGGATAAAATAAATAAACATGTCCGTTGTGTAACAGAGTTCAAAAAGTTTCATGTTAGTTGTGGATTGCCTAATAAAGCCTTTAAGTTTATGCGCACTTATGATTGATGAAGTAAAATATTTGCAACAAGGTTGAAATAACACCTTTCGAAAAAAGTATATTAAAGGATTTTTTTCATAACTTTGTCCCTTAATTATGTTGAAATAGTTCAATCTCTTGAATAAATTTTAATATTTTGATATATTAGTTTTTACTACAAAGCATATTTTTATTGTTTTTAAACATTTATATAAAATATGTTTTAACATTTGTCCTTCCAATTAAGTTTAAACAAATTGTTACTTTTTATAATATATATTTTTGAAATTTTAGTTACTATTTTTTGTTTGTTAATTTCAGTCCTAGAAAATAGTTTTTTTTTTTTTGTCTTTTAGTCTATGTACTATTTTTGTTGTTGAAAATTATGTAAGATATTTGGTCCATATGGAATTAGTTCTTGTTGATTATACTGATTTTGGTCCTCATAATATGTTGATTATATTCATATTTCATAGACATAAATCAAATAAAGTTAATGTTTTATATGAACTAATTTCTTTTTGGTAAAGATTATATGGACTAAATATTCTAAAAACTAAAGTCAAATAAAAAATTAAAAGTTTAACTTTATTTTAGAAGTTAAAATCAACGATTTACTGTAGGGATTAAAATAAAATAAAAGTTTATTTTATAAATTAAAATATTATTTAAGTAACTTCCCGGAGATGAGAGTTGAATACGTCAAGGTCTTGTATGTTTAGAATGTTTTTAAAATTGAATCGATTTAAATATTATTTTAAGGTTTAATTAAACTGTAATCAAATTGATATAAATAAAATTGTTATTATTATTAATAAAAAATTAATATTAAATAATTATAATTTTATAATTTTATAACATTAAAAATTAGAATAAAATAATATTTATAGGTTCTTAATATTTAATGTAAACGTAAAATTCTAAATTATATATAATATAATATTTAAGTTTAAGTTTCAATAAAATATATAAATGTCTATTAATAATAACAATATTACATATAGAATTAAAAATATTAAATTAATATAATATAAATTATAAAAATAAAGATATGAAAAATTGTAAATTAACATAAAGATGATTACAATAAAATCCTACCTAGGCTTAGTTATTATCATTCTTAGTTTTATATATAATTTTGAAAATAAATTCACTTACTTCAAGAAGAATTTTTGATAAAATTATTTTACTCAACAATTCATCACTTATATTGAATTTTAGCGATTAAATCATTTAAATTAAAGATTTTTAATAAATAAAGTTTATAATTTTTTTATAAAGTTTAAAAATTATATGATACTTTATTATATGAATTTAAATCAATATATAATATGTATGTATAAATATACTTTATTTTGAATTAATATAGTATAGTATCAAATAGTTTTCAAAAATTACAATGTATGATATAGTTTTTAACTTTTTTAAAATTTGTAAATTTGATTAATATGTTAAGAATTTTTAATTCACCCATTGAATCATAGAAAATTTTGTAAAATATAAATTATTGAGTAAAATAAGTATATCAATACTTACTTGGAGTAAGTGGATCTTTTTTATATAATTATATATACTGCGAGACAAAAGACACTTTGTTCTTCTATTTAATTATCCACATCAATAAATTAGTGTGTAATTATCATGCGCTAAAAAACTTTTGTAACTTTTCGAAACTTTCATTTAATAGTTTCTTATTCTATTTAAAAGATTAAAATTGCCCAAAATAAAATATACATGAAAATAGAAATTTCTCTTATACAGGACAAAACTTATGTACAGTTCTCCAATTAAAATTAAGTTTTACTTCAATAATATACAGTTACACTTAATGTAAGTCTCATTAATAAACTTCTAAGCATGTTACTTAGGTAAATTTACTCTAACACTAACCATATTTAAAAAATTGTTTATCCCTTAAAAAAAAAAAAATAGTTAAGTAGTTATTATATTATCTTATTTTTTCATGTAATAAAAATAATTATTTTGTGAGTAAAATAAAAATTTAGTTTTTGAAAAAAATAAATAAATGTAAATAAGAACCAAAAGATTTATATAAAAAATAGAAGAAAAAATTGCCAAAAAAATTATCTTTATATATAATTATATATAATATAAATAATAAATTATATATAAATAAATAAATAAATAAAAGGTTTGGTAAACATACTCATATAATTTTTAGCTAATATATGTTAATATACACCAAATAATAATATATTAGAAAACAATTCAATCATCTCTTCTATCTTAATTAATTCATTATAAGAATATTTCATTGATTTACATTCATTTCATTGTTGATTTTCTTACTCGACATTTCTATTTTTTTCCTTTGACTATATCTTATATAACCTATTATTTTACTTTTACGATCTCACCTTTTTTTTTTTGGTAAAATAATTAGATAATTTATAGAGTTAATCACCTATACATTATGAGTATAAAATTTTTTACATTAACAATTAATTATATTCTTTAATTATATCATATCATTATAAATACATTTACTTTTAACAGTGTATAGGTGATTAACTTATACAAATATTACTTTACTCATATTAGTTACGAGAAATGTTTAGGATTTTTATATGTATACATAATCAACTCTAAAATTATTTATTAAAAAAAAAAAATTCAGCGTGTTGTCAATACCCAATAGATTATAGAGTGGTGATAATCTCTTATCCATTTTGTTTGATGAAAGTGCAGATAGTAAGAATTGAAGAGCAATGGCTTCATCTTCAACACTTTCCACAAGGCTTCATCTGCACTCTCCCACGTCTCTAACGTCCATACGAAGCAGAAGACCCAATTTTCTGAGGATGCTGACTCGCTCCTGCCTCGATGATAGTTCTGCTCTTCTCCGAGCAGCGGAATACACTGTATCAACCATGGATTCATGCTTACCACTCTCTGCACTTTTCACTATTTCCTGATCAATATCTGCTTTTTCATGCTAATTCAGCCACTACAATGCTTCTTTTAGTAGATTTTTGCAAATACCCTTTTTTTATGCTAGGAGATGAATGAATTTTGTAGACATGTTTTGTTGTTTGGTAGGTGGATTCGTACGTGAAAAGTGGCATGGTTGTAGGATTGGGGTCTGGTCATGCTTCTGGTATGGCCATTCAGCATTTGGGTCGCCAGCTTCGTAATGGTAATTTGAAGGATATAGTAGGGATTCCCATGTGAGCTCTTCCTCCTTACGTTTTTTCTTCCCTTTTGGCTAAAATATCATTTAAAAAAAGATAATAATGTATTTAAAGTTGAAGTTGAACTATGTTTTCTGAATGTTGTCTAATTATGTAATAGAAATTTCTCTATGCAATGCAAGTATTGATCATTGCATTGCTGTTCTGTAAAGACATATATATTACTTTCAATTTCTATGTCAATATGTAAATTCCGCCAAACCATTTGACATTGATGCACTGGTTTGTGTAGGTCTGTTGCAAGTGCAAGTGAGGCAGCAAAGGCTGGGATTCCATTGGATACCTACAAAGACAGTTCTCAAGTGTGCACAAAAATAGTCATCTTCTACATTTTCCTTTAATGTTGAGTATTTCTTGTTTTAGAGGGCTCTTGGATGCTTGCCAGAAATTTTAGAAGAACAGGAAGCCTTGTATGCAATCCCTGGTGAAAATGTTCCAAAATTTTAAAAAATAAGTCTATCATAAATCAATAATTTTGAAGAAATCATTCAATGCAATGAAATTAAAAGGAAATGGAAGAAAAAGTAATGCTGGACTGTCTTGATGTGTCAAGCTAGGTGCATCTTTGTTTTTTAATTTTGTATATAACTGAAATAAATGTTAGTGTAGATTCATCTTGCAATTACTCTGTTGTAGATTGATTTTGCATTTGATGATGCTGATGCTGTAGAAGAAGGGACACTTGTTGCTATCATCGGGCGCCGGAAATTGCAAGGTGATGAATCCATAATCCAGGAGAAGGTGAGTTGCTACACCATTTTCTTCTGTCTTTCTTTGTTATCTTGTGTTAATAATTGATTCCCCCTCCCTTTTTTTCTTTTGTTTACAGTCTATACTAAATGCTGCCAGTAAACTTGTGTTCATTATCGAAGATACCCAGTACAAAGATGGTCTGGAAGGTTCTATTCCAGTTTTAATTCAGTCTGTAAGCAGCTATGCAAAATATTAGCTTATTGATTCTTTCTTGTGTATATTTGTCTTTAATAATCATTTTCCTTGCAGCTCAACTGGTTGGCTACTGCCGAAGAGATTGATGATATGTTTCTGGGTGATGCTGAGGTTCACTCTACATTTACTCTTTTTCTGAGTTTTTACACATGCTTATAAGAAAATAAAACATCAAAAGTTTTATCTGGTTGGTTGCTTACCAACTTAAAAAGTGACAATGACATAAAGATTTCCTTATTTGTTTTAAAGATAACGATATTTTGACACTGTTTGCTTTGTTGATGTATGTAGATACTGTATGTAATTGGATATAGTGCTCTCCTAAATGATTTAGGATTTTTTTTTTATGATCCACAAAACAACAGCAACTCAAAGCTTTTGCCACTAAGTGGGGTTGGTTTTCACATACGAGTCTTTCTTGGTCTACCTCTAACTTGGGTTACTCCTTAGTACATACCATGCTAGAAAAGACTATATTTAGTACATAATCAAATTTATTTTCATTATGATGTTTCTCTAGACAAGAAAATTGCAGTCTATCCCCAAAACTAATTGTAAATTCACCATGGTACCCCATAGAAACACTTGCATAAGCCAGTGAATAGACAAGGGATGAAAGGAGTCTAAACAAATCCATTCTCCTAAAAATTTTTAGAAAGTCCTATATTACAAAGTTGCTAATGGAACTTTACAATCACAATGTAAAAAGATGATTTGTCTGACATCAAGAGGAATAGCCTTGCCAGGCCTACGATTCTGTATCAGGCAAAAAGATGCCTTTAGCCTTTTGAGAAACTGGTAAATAAGATGTATAAAAAGTAAGAAACAGAATGACTTAAAAATCATACCCTGTTATCAAGAAAGGTGAAGCAATTACACAGCAAGGTTATTGAATTTCTAAAGTGGAACTGGAATGTAATGCCAGAGTTTTTGGTTGGAAGTTTCTTCCTTCTCATTTCTTAAGGGACAGAGTTGTTTTATTGAGTTTTGTCAGGGTGCTAACCCATGTTTTCTTGAGGGATTGGAAAGCACTTTTGGGCCATGTTCCTTCATTTGTTTCCTGTATTTTATATTTTATTTGATGAAAGATAATTTCTTATGCTCCTCCGAACATTTCTGTTCTTTCTTTTAATTATTTTATCAAGAAATTTACATTTTTGTGATTATATTTATCATGTCTCTTTTTGTAAATGAAGGTCTGGAGAAGACCATCTATAGGGCAAGCAGGTCCACTAGGAGGTGACTTCCCACTAGTCACCAAAGAAGGACATAATGTTCTCGATGTTATCTTTACATCCCCAATAGAAAGCCTTGGTAAGTTCTGTAAGTGTGATACCTGTTTCAAGTGCTAAACCTCAGTTTTTTCACTGGTCCATTCCATTGACTTGGTATTACTTGCAGCTGAAGTAGCAAAAAGCCTTAATAGAGTTGATGGTGTTGTGGACCATGGTGTGGTATCGAAATTCCCGTTAGTATTCTTTCTTAACTTTTATACTCTTTTAAATAAGTAGTTGACAGTGACACTGATTGAATCATTGAACTAAGACAAATGGCCGTTGCATAAAAAATATCTTAGACTCTGTTGTACTTGAAATGATTGGTAGAATGATTTTCTGTTAAACCTGATCTGAGTTTTTACCATTCAAGCAATACTTCTCTTCCACAATTCTTTATCTAATGCCCTATCTTACTATGTTCCTCAAAGTTGGTTAAGAAAATCTCAACAGAAGGTACACAACATATAAAACATCAAATGACTCACTCTGATAATTTCAGTTTTCTTTATCTGTTTCTCTGTATTTAATGAAAAAGAAGTGCTTGACATATGCTTCATGTAATCTTACAAACTTAACTGACAAAAAGAGATTCAAAGGGTATACTTTTTTAATATCTTTCATATTAGAGCTGCACTTTGTGCTTTAGGTGCAGCAATTTATTTAGTCAAAGGAGTATAATGGAAGCATGATCAGCATCTTAGTCACTTTAAAAAATCCCAGTTTTACTTAGCTATTTACAAATGATTGCATTGGTTCTATTGATACTCTTTCTAGACGACAGAAGCAGTGAAAGTGGTTTAATTCATTTATTTCTGTTATCATGTTATGCAGATGCACAGTGGTAATTGCTTCTCAGACTGGGCTGAATGTTTTAGACAAATTGACAGCAGATATAGTGGGTTAGGCTTCCGTGCTTATAGCTCTGCTTTGCACATGAATGCAAATGTGGTGGTGGTTGTTTATTCCACATATTTTTTTCTCCGTTCCATGCTTCTTGCCTTCCACTTTTTTCCATCCTCACCCCCTTTCCCCTCAAATGTTTATTATGAAAGAAGATTAAAATTAAAGATATGAGTCATTGTTACTGAATCAAATGTCAAAGAAAACTTAGGGTTACGTGTGCGTGTGATACATGAAAGTTCATTTGTCTTTAGTTTGTATATTCAATTCCCAAATGGTTCCATCATAAGGGTTGGGGGTTTGCGTACCTTAATCACACTGCAATATATCAAAACTATGTTTATTTACATAACTCCACATGACAACAAACACTACAAAGTTATTATATGGCAAGCAATTGTGTGTTTGTATATGCGTTTTGTCTATTGCACGCATTTGTGAGCATCAAACATTACTAAAAGAATTGTAAGATCCAAATAAAAAATTACTGACCCAACTGATTCAATATTTGTGTTTCTTAATTAAGAACTGAGATTTGATGTCTACCTTAGATATAAAATTATAATTAAAGATATCACTTTATTTGTATTGGAGTCATGTGAGAAGGAGTTATAACTTCTTATCAAACAAAAAAAAAATTGTAGGATTCATGTTGAACAAAGTTTTATGGTATTCAAACACATCTTAAATAAATAAAAAAACAACAACTTTAAGATCCCAGATTTGATACCTTCTTTGGAATTGAAATCTTAATGATATCCTTATAGGAGTCGATATGTGAAAAAGAGTTGTAGTTTCTTATCAAATTGAAAAAAAAAAGCCCATGTTTAATGAAATTTTATGATATTCAAATATATCTTAAATAAGAAAAACAACTTTAAGATCCTTGAATATAATTGCAATGAGAAGTACTATTCTATTTTTATGAGTCGATATGTGGAACTGAGTTATATCTTCTTATCAAACTAAAAAGAAGGAGAATTGTAGGTTATATGTTAAACGAAGTTTTATAATATTCAAACACACATTAAATTAAAAAAAAAAAAACAACTTTAAGATCCTTGGACATAATTAAGAGTCATATTTGTTTGTTTTCTTGATGGGTTTAAAATTCAAATGAAAGTTACACATATATATGCAGAGAGAGGTTTCATGTTAAACGAAGTTTTATAATATTCAAACACACATTAAATGAAAAAAAAAACAACTTTAAGATCCTTAGACATAATTAAGAGTCATATTTGTTTATTTTTTTATGGGTTTAAAATTCAAATGATATATTGTGATATCAATTAGTTGGTAAAATAATATCTTAAGATTTTATGTAGTTTGACTATTTTGAAAAATAAGAACTATAAGTTTTATATATTCAAGTGATTATTGATTTCCAAAAATAAAATCATATACGTGTCTACTAGATTTTAGGTTGATTAACACAACATATTCATATGTTCTTTCTTTGCTCATAAGTGTCTCTAAATTTTATTCTTTTTATAAACTCAATTATCTAATTCAATAGAAATAAAGAAGTTAATTAATTTAGTTAATAGTATAACTTTATCTTAAACTTATATTTTTTTTTCTATGACAGTCACTAATATTAACGATATCTTACTCTACTAACTATTTTTTTAATTAAAAGTATTTCTTATGAAAAAATAATTATTACAAGAGACAATTTTAGATGGTAACAACTAACAACCAAATTACAAAAAGAAAAATGATAAGAAGGAGTAGAAAAAGATAGATGAAAAGGAATAATTGTAAATGTCGTCTAGAATTCATATAAAAATAATGTCTTCTTAATTTGAACCATGTATCTCTTAAAAGTACGTATATTTTGTGTGTATTTTAGAGTTTGTCTCACTTTATATTTGTGCAATGACTCATGTTAGTTATGATTATAATTTTGTATTAAGAATAATGCATGATTACTTGACAATAATAGGAACACCTTGATTTGAGAATATATATTATCTCACCTTGTATTTATGCAATAACTCATGTTGGTTATGATTATAAGTTTGTATTAAGAATAATGTATCATTACTTGACAATAATAGAGACACCTTGATTTGAGAATATATATTGTCTCACTTTGTATTTGTGCAATTACTTGTGTTGGTTATGATTATAATTTTTTATTATGTATGATTACTTGACAATAATAGGGATACCTTGATTTGAGAATATATATATATATATATATATAACATATCAAGTGAGAGGGAATTTATTATGAGAAATAAGAGGGTTAAAATATAATCCTTAGATTAATTTCCTCTCACTTAATTAAATCCCAAATTTTCTTTCACTTGATTAATCTAAAGGTTATATTTTAACACTCTCATCTTTCATAATAAATTCCCTCTCATTTGATCTATATAT